TTTATTGTATTATTTTTATTTTATTTTAATAATTTATTGTGTCTATTATCGTTTTTTATGTCTTATCATTTTTCATTTGCGTTTTTATTATCATTTTCATCTAATTATTTATCAACAGATTGATGATTTAAAAAAATATCACTGTCTAGGATTTCGGAGATGCATCTCCGAAAGAACCAAATCAGGGTGTTTCGGAGATGCATCTCTGAAAATATCACTGCATGTTTAAATATAACGTCCAAGTCCAAACAAATTGTTTTCGAAAATGCATCTCCGAAACACTTTGATTTGGGGTTGATTCAGAGATACATCTCCGAAAGATATTTTCGGGTTTTCAGGGGGTTTTCCCCACCCATAAGAGGTGTACAAAGAAATTCTAAAAAAAAAGTTGTTGGAGATTCCATAACTTTAAAAATTAAGAAATAAAAACTAATTTACAAGAGTATTGTTAACTTGTGTCTCAGAGGTATATTCTCTCCGGTCTCATATATAAATAATTTTATAAAAAAGTTCACCCTTTAAGAAAAATGTCTAAATATATTTAAGGCTTACATTCTTTCTAATTTTACTCCTATTTTTTACTTTAGATTTAGAAATCATTAAAAACATAGAAATATGAAGAAAAAAAAGTAGAATTATATTTAGAATGATGATATTGAATATAATAATTATAGGTGACTTTTATTTATATTTAAGACCATTGATTTTTTTTTATTACTTATATCCGAGACCAAATAAAATAAATTAAGAACTAAATGAAAAAAAATGTTATATTGAAAATTATATATTAATTTTAATAAAAATATAGAATTAACTTTTTTATTATTATTTTCAATACAAAATTTAGTGGATTTCTTAACTTGTGCCCTAGAGCATAAATTACTACTCTTTCCTATTCTTTTTATAAAAGACATTTTATCTTTCTAAATTTATTGAATAATTAATATACCTGAATTATTTATCGACGAAATACATTAATGATTCGATAAATTTAAAAAAATAAAGTGTTTCTTATATAAATAATCTGTTCCTACATTTCATTATTATTTCAATGCCAGATCACAGTGTGCAATTCAACCATAAGAAACCCGTTGATTCAAATGTCTAATTAATGTGTTAAATACATTTATGTTATAATTAAATTATAAATTTAATAATAATAAATATAATTAATAACTATGTTGATACTTGTCTCTGATACAATATCTTTGAACTTATAGATCAAATATTTTACATGTATGCAATTAAGTTATGATTTGGTTACGATTGTTTCATTTAAAATATTTGAATTGGAAAATATCAAACCAGAAGAGTCCTATCGAAACAATACTAGTAAGCAAATATTCAAAACTGGAAGAGCTATAAACCAGCATAAAGCTAACAAAACCAAACATAAAAATAGGAAACAAACAAGAAACAGATACTAGGAAGAGATATATAAAGAAACCATAGTGGAGAATCAATGGAGAACAACAACAACATAGACACTGAAATAGGAAAACTTAAGGTAGAAGAAGATGAAGAGTCACCAATTGAGGAAGTAAGGTTAACAGTCACAAACACCGATGATCCAACTCTTCCGGTATGGACATTCCGCATGTGGTTTTTGGGTCTTCTCTCATGCTCCCTCCTTTCCTTCCTCAACCAATTCTTCGCCTACAGATCACAACCACTCATCATAACACAAATCACCGTCCAAGTCGCCACTCTCCCACTCGGCAACCTCATGGCCACCGTCTTACCTTCAACCACGTTCACGGTCCCTGGTTTCGGCTCGAAGCGGTTCTCGCTTAACCCCGGTCCGTTTAACATGAAGGAACATGTTCTTATCACTATATTCGCGAATGCAGGTTCGGCTTTCGGGTCTGGATCACCTTATGCTGTTGGAATTGTTAATATTATTAAAGCTTTTTATGGAAGGAGTATATCTTTTCTGGCTGCATGGCTTCTTATTATCACTACTCAGGTTTTGGGTTATGGTTGGGCTGGTTTGCTTAAGAAATACGTCGTTGAACCTGCTCATATGTGGTGGCCTAGCACCCTCGTCCAAGTCTCTATTTTCCGGTAATAAACACTCCCTCGGACCTCGTCTCAGATATAAAAGACCAAATTTTGGTTATATTTGAGACAAGAACGTATATACACGATTTACATGATTTTTGTTATCAGGGTCGTCTCAGTTTACTAAAGTTTTTTTTTAATCTATGCAGAACTTTGCATGAGAAAGATGAAGATCCTCACAAATTTTCAAGGGCAAAGTTTTTCTTCATAGCACTAGTATGCAGTTTTTTATGGTATATAGTCCCTGGATACTTATTCACAACGCTGACAAGCATATCATGGGTCTGTTGGGTATTCTCCAAGTCAGTAACAGCTCAACAATTAGGTTCTGGCATGAGTGGTTTAGGGTTTGGAGCTTTTACGCTTGATTGGGCCGCGGTTGCTTCCTTCTTGTTCAGTCCTCTTATCTCACCTTTCTTTGCCATTGTCAATGTTTTCGTTGGCTATGCATTGATTGTTTATGCTGTGATTCCTATAGCATATTGGGGATTCAATGTGTATGATGCGAATAAGTTTTCCATTTTCTCATCTGATTTGTTCACAGCAGATGGTCAACAATACAACATATCTGCTATTGTTAATGACAAATTTCAGATTGATCTTGCTAAGTATCAAGAACAAGGTCGAATTCATTTAAGTGTGTTTTTCTCTCTTACTTATGGATTTGGATTCGCCACTATAGCTTCCACCATTACACATGTTGTTTGCTTCCATGGAAGGTACAATACAATGGTCTATACTCAATAGTCAAAGTAAAACTATTTGATTAGGTGTTAGTTAAAGATGTTTAATTGTTTATGATATCGTTTTGTCAGGGAGATTACGGAGCGGTATCGGGCTTCGAAAAACGGCAAAGAAGATATCCATACTAAACTGATGAAAAATTACAAAGACATTCCTTCTTGGTGGTTTTATTTGTTGTTAGGAGTGACACTTGTTGTTTCATTACTGATCTGCATTTTTCTAAATCATGAGATTCAGATGCCTTGGTGGGGACTTCTCTTTGCTTCAGCATTGGCTTTTATGTTTACCCTCCCAATTAGCATCATAACTGCTACGACAAACCAGGTTAATTAATATATCTTGAAACTTTTGCTTAAAAAGAAACAGAATTTGTTTTAAAACTAAATAACTTAATGCTCTGAATGCAGACGCCGGGGTTGAATATCATCACCGAGTATATATTTGGTATCATTTACCCTGGAAGACCAATTGCAAATGTATGCTTCAAAACCTATGGTTACATAAGCATGGCTCAGGCTGTTTCGTTTCTTAGCGATTTCAAGCTTGGACACTACATGAAAATCCCTCCAAGGTCAATGTTCTTAGTGCAGGTATATTTATTTATTCAGCTGTTATAATTGTGTTTTGAAGGTTTTACTAGAGCATTTACCTTTCTTATACAGTATCTAATCTAATGTACTTGTGCTAAAAATTATTTAGTTCATTGGGACAATGCTTGCTGGAACTATCAACATTTGTGTAGCATGGTGGTTGCTAGAATCTGTCAAAAACATTTGTCATGAAGATCTTCTTCCCAAAGGCAGTCCATGGACATGTCCGAGTGACCGTGTTTTCTTCGATGCATCAGTTATTTGGGGCCTAGTAGGACCTAAGAGGATCTTTGGTACTCTTGGAGAGTACTCAGCATTGAACTGGTTTTTCCTTGGAGGTGCCATAGGACCAATACTAGTTTGGCTATTGCACAAGGCATTTCCACAACAGTCATGGATTCCGTTGATTAATCTTCCAGTACTCTTGGGAGCAACTGGAATGATGCCGCCAGCAACAGCGTTGAACTATAATGCATGGATTGTGGTTGGAACCATTTTTAACTTCTTTATCTTCCGTTACCGAAAGAAATGGTGGCAGAGATACAACTATGTTTTATCAGCAGCACTTGATGCAGGGGTGGCTTTTATGGCGGTGCTGCTTTACTTTGCATTAGGACTGGAAAATGTGAGTCTGAATTGGTGGGGAACTGCTGGTGAGCATTGTCCTTTGGCAGCTTGTCCAACTGCTAAGGGTATAGAGGTTGATGGTTGCCCTGTCTTCTAATGACATTGCCTCTTTTTATGGTTTTTTTTATTGCAGAACTTTATTATCTAGTATTTAAAATTCATTTTGTAATTATGGAGACACTGTTGTTTTATCAGGAAACAGTGTTACTATGTTCTGTTTTTATTTGGTTTGTAATTTAGTTTTTGGATAAACAATATATATTGGTCGTTATATTAGCATTTTCTTATTCATCGTATACTTAAACTCCTTTTACCCTTAGATTGATAAAGTGGAGCTATCCAATTGCCTCGTGCAGGAAACTCTAGTATATAGGAATTAAGGATGCAAGTATAAGAAGTCAAGATAAAACACATAAATTAATAATTGAATACAACTTAGATATGTTTATTTTCAGGTTAGCACTGAAAATGGAAAAAGAATATGTAAAGAAAAAAACACTGGTGAAAGAAAATCCAACTAAAAGTTGTGAAGTTGGCAATAACTGACTGGAAAAACAATTGTGGCAGGAGTATTAGACCCTTAAAACTTATCAGAAAATAGACACTGGGAATGTTATTTCCATTTCATCTTCTTCAACATTGTTGTCCTTGAAATCAACCTCCTAAACAGTAGCTTGCCTACTCCCAATGCTTTGTTCTCAACGCATATCCCACACGGCATCAATTATCAGGACAGTCTACACATGTCACGAAAACACTACTGTCATTCTTCATATTAGACGGGAATGCAAGTGTTCTACAGTCATCACATCCTTTGTCTCTGCCTCAATAGATCCCTTTTTTGACACAAAATTTGATATATTACATCAAGTGTCGTAAGCCATCATAGTTTCAATAAACAACACCACTAGTAAATTTATCAAATGATATCATTTGGATGACAGCCAGCCAAGATTAGATACTCAAACCCAGAAACTATTATAGCGAATTAGCTGAAATCCATTGGTTATACTCATCCATCCTTATTATGAAGGAGCTTGAACTTGCGGAACCTCCTCCGCCATATGCCTTCATGATGACAGTGCAGAAAACTCGTTAATGTCAACGAGTTAAAAATATCAAATGAATAAGACAAAAAATATAGAACCAAAGAGTACATACCTTAGCAACTTCTGAAGTATCAGTAGCACTATCAGAGCTGCGCAAGCACATTTTGAGATTATTCCGTTGCAAAAATATAACAGCTCCTATGGGCCTGTTATCGATAAAATCACTTGCTGGATCAGATTTCAACAAGCAATCAGAAGAAGCATTCTAATTCAACTTTTATTACTGTTAGTCTGTTGGACAATCTTTCAAAAAAACAGCCTTCTAACAAGGTTATACAAACATAAATTCACTAAATGTTCGAAGTAAATTACCTCACCTCAGACCAATAGCAGCGCTTTTTACACTAAGAAGCATGCCAATTTCATCACTTAAGTTAGAGTTCCCATCTGCCCGAACTCCCTACACAGTAACCAAGGCAATAAAACATGATTGCATGTTTCAACCACAATAGGGTGGGTTGGGGGTGACCACGTTACCATTGCATGATGCTGCTATAATTAATTACGACAATCAAACTGGAAACAATTAGTTATGCATTAAGTACTGAAATAAAGAAGCAAGCAGCAGAGAAAGTTCATGGTAAAATTTGAATTTTATTTATTATTATTTGGTTAGAAGAATACAGACTTGTAATGAAAGTTTGACTACACATTATTTTGAGGAAACGATAGTTTATTTTTCAAAAATCCAAAGTTATCAAAGGAAATGGCAAAAAAGAGAGCTATTGTCCCTGATTGAGCAAACCCAAACATGCAATAAATAAAAAATAAAAGCATGTTAAGAAAATAGAAACTATGATTATATCCTGAAAAATTACCAGGCACTCTCCATAGAATCCTCTACCCAGCCGAACTCTGAAAACCTTTTCAAGCAATTTACTTGCAGCATTACGGCGAGCTGAAATAGACGAATTTCCTTTAGCAATTAATTCTTCAACACTCAATTCCATCAACTGCAATACAGATATATTAAAGGATAGGAAATATTTAGCGAAGACAATTATCAGAGATAAATTGACATCAGTTTACATCTTTCAAAAGTAATGAAAACATATGTTTTCTTTTTGGAATGTTACAGTTAAGCATATAAAAACAAGGAAACAACAAAAGAGGTGGTTTCTATAGTCTGAAAAGTCACAACGAAATATAAAGGTTACGAATATGTATCGGTCACGGTCGCTTTAAATAACCACTCAACCTATGAAGTTGTTTATTATCTTCCCAAGCAGGAAACAAACAGATGACATATCAACAACCAAAGGTTATAAGTTGTTTATTGTTTTTAAAGTCCAAAATTTCATTTAAAAACAACGATAATAAGAAAACGCAGAAACATATAGGAAAGATAATCAATCATACCTGCTTAAACATGTATGGGTTGGAAATGCAGCTAAACCTCGGTCGCCATTCACCTAGTCCAATGTTAAAGGGCTTAATATCAGGCAAGCTCCATCGGCGAAGATCCCCGTCTTCAATATACCTAAGAATATTCTCCATACGGTCTTTATCTTTTTTGTCCACCAAACCTGAAACCGCGCCCTTAAGCAGTACCCAAACATCATTATATCTCAGCCATTGTTGCATTAAAGGGAATAAAAGAATTAAAATTCTTACTTACATCAGAATTTATAATATCCTTGCATTTGTTGGTAAAGTACTCATAAACAGCTCTGGAGCTACTTTTGTCAAGGTTAACATTAATCATAATATTCTCAGGATAGTCATTTACAGAAGGAACATGTGTAAGCACTGATTTCCTATGATCAAACCCAATAATCCTAAACACATAAAAGCAATTACATTAATAAAGTAATCAAAATCACATGAAAACAGAGAGATTACAATAAAATAGGAGGCTGTTAGCATTAAACCTACTTGCAATTTGAATGATGGGAAAGCTGGAAAAGGAATTCCTTTGGAGGAAGAAAGTCGAGAAGATAGCATGTTTGAAGGCCTTGAATGCACAAATCTTCAACAGTGAAAGCGAGGGAGGGAACGGAGGAGAAAGGAAGAGTAAGGGAAGGGAGATTGTGACGAGTGTGGAAGAGGTGAGCGAAGAGAGAGGAGAAGGCTCCGGAAAAGGATGGGTAGTTGTAGAGAACTATGGTGGGAACTTTATCTTCGGAAGCTTTAGCTATGGCTTCTAACGCTGCATCTGAACGTAAGGTTCTATGGGAGAATGAGAATGGGATGGTTCTCCTCCCCCATTTTCCAACCACCCACCATTTCATCTGAATGAGTTTTTTTTTCCAACTGGTTGTGTTTTTGGGTAATAACCCTTTTCGTATGAACAAGACTTTACTAGCTAGTCTCTTCAACATTGTTTATTTATATATTATAAATTTATAAAAACAAAAGTATTTAAAAATTACACGATAAATCTTTTGTTTAAATGTTTTATCTTATTTAATTACAAGAAATAAATTTGAATTTTTATACAATGTTTGATTTTGATTGATTTGATATTAAATATTTCTAATGTGACACATTTATGAATTTTTTTGAATTTTATATTATTTTATTTCATATTATTAATATTACTAATACACATTATCATATATATTGTTTTTGAACAATGAAAAGTGGCATAGCTGCACAAATTCTCTGAAGTTTTTCAAATTTTATATTTTATTCTCAGTCGTAAAACTGTTCATGTTCTAATAAAAAATACACAAAAATAGAGTCCAACAAAACTTTTTCTTTTATCCATTCAAACGAGTTATATCCATTTGTTCTTCACTTGGTTTCTCTTATTTGCGAACAAAAACAATTCAACAATTTTTTCTTCCTCTCACGATTTGAAATAAATCAACAACAACAACACCTTAAAAGCAAGCAAAATTAACCTAAACCCCCTTTGATTCCTCCCTGATCCATTAGCTTTCAGAGATTACAAATGCGTGGTTTACCTGATGCTGAAATTAAAATAACAACAACAAAAATCAGAGAAAACGAAAAAAGTTCTCAGGTACGTTCTTCTTTTTCTTTTTCTTCTTCTTCTTCTTCTTCTTCTTCTTCTTCTTCTTCTTCTGCTCTTTTGATTCAATTTCTCTTTTACCTTCGTCTTCTACTTCTCTAGATCCGTGTGTGTCTACTTTGATATGTTTATATATGTATTGTTGCTTTGTTGATGTTGTCTGTAATGGCGCGGTTTTAAGTATGTGGTTGGGTGAAAATTTGCAGGGAGAATTGTGAGGTTTGGGAAGAAATTTTGGGGATCAAACCGTATGTGTCTTGAGGGCAATTATAGAATGTTGATTAGTGAGAAAGAGAGGTGAGAATGTGTTCGCAAGTGTGTAAGTTCTAATCTGAAACTTGAAATTGTTTCGGATGAAGCATGTGAACTTTTGGTATGTGTGTATCTTGATATGACTATGTTGTTGATGGTGAAAACGCATGTGAATCGTATGTATTATTTATGTATGTTAATAATTTTCACCATTTGTTTTTTCAGGTTACGACGTACAATACATGTATGTATGTATGTGATGTCAGCAAACGCTCTCTCACTCGATCGTGCATTAACAAACTTTCGATTTACCTCTTAAAAGACGATCTCGCGATCTCTCTGATGGCTTCATAGTATCGATTTTGCAAAAACAACAACCAAACAAAAATAAAACATTTTCCCTGCTGTAATCTCATGCCTCAACTCAACTTTAGTTTTGATGAAAGACAAACAAGCTAGTTTGATGAAAGACAAACAAGCACTATGGCAAGAAGGAAAAGAAGTGGAATTAGTTTAAAGCATCATTCACTCAAATCTTCAAGGATCATGGCAAGCAATCAAGTATATCAATTCTCATCTGAACTACATTGATTAGAAATGCTCAAAAATGATATACACACTTGCCACAACACTTCACTTAAAGTATAAAACAAATTTTAAGTTTTTCACTGATGTAAATCGTTTTACACATGTTTTTTCAAAAACTGATTGTTTCTGGCAGCAATCGATTTACATGAAGTGTAAATCGATTGATCACTGAACTGAGTTGAATTTTTTAACACTTGTAAATCGATTTACACATCATGCTAATCGATTTACACTTCAAATTTTTTGAAAACAAGAACGTTACAAACTCGTGCAATCGATTTACATCTAATGCTAATCGATTTACACGTTGTAATTTTTTAAAAATCTGAACTGGTTTCAAGATATCCTTCACACCTTTTCTCCAATAGATGCATGGTCATACAATGCATCTTCTCAAGTTTTTCAAACAGAAAAGTGTCCATTTGGAAAGGTATCTTGATTACTTTAAATACTAAATCTTTCAAATTAAAAAACAACTCTTCTCTTATGCAATAATTCTGAACTTTGTAAAATATTCAAACTTCATATTTCTTAACTTTTAAGAACAAAGATTTTCTGCACTTTCACACATATAAGAACATAAATCTTTGAGCATTATCTAACCATTGTGTTACAGTTTGAATTGCTTATAAGAGAAGAAAGAAGAAACTTCATTGAAGTCACTCTATGTGATCAACATCTTTCAAGAAATCATATTTCATAGAATTATACAAAGTGTAACTTATTTCCAAGATTGTTGGAATTAAGTATTGGAATACTTGTGTACCTTGTTGTCCATTTTTGGAAACAAGAGGTATCTTTTGAGAGGATTGTTCTCAAGAGACTTATTGAAAATCCAAGAGGGTGTTCTTGGTATTTGTTAGAGTCTTTAGTTGATAAGACTAGGAAGAGTCTTGTAAAAGTTCTAACAAAATAGTGAAATCTCTTGCGTGTTTTCAAGGGGACTGGACGTACTTCCGGGGTGTGGAAGGAACCAGGATAAATCTCTGTGTCTCTTTACTTTCTGCACTTTACAGTTTTTCCAAAGCACTAAAACAAAACCAGAAAGTATAAAATAAGTCAAAAATCGACCACCACCTAATTCACCCCCCCCCCTCTTAGGCGCAATCTTAAACTTACAATTGGTATCAGAGCGGGTTATAGGTAACCTGCTCCTAGAGATCCAAAATGGCTTTCGTAAATCATCAACCCGTTTTCAGAGATGGTGGTAGTAACAACAAGCCTCCTCTATTCTGTGGTGAATATTTTGACTTCTGGAAAATACACATGAAGGCGCATCTAGAAGCACAAGGAGAGGAGATATGGGATGCTGTTGAAAATGGTCCATTTATTCCGGTTACGGTAATCAATGGTGTTGGCTCTTCAAAGCCTAAAACTGCATGGGACGACGACGACAAAAAGAAAGTTCTTTATGACAAAAAGGCAATAAACCTTCTTCAAGGTGCACTTAGTATGGACGAATTTTTCCGTGTCTCGACATGCAAAACAACAAAGGAAATATGGGATACCTTGGTACAAACTCATGAAGGAACGGCTGAAGTAAAAAGATCAAGGCTAAATACCCTAAGTCAAGAATATGAACTATTTCGAATGCAGCCCGGAGAATCCATTCTTGACTTACAAAAAAGATTTGTGCATTTGACAAATAACTTAAGTGCTCTTGGTAAAACCTTGACAAACGATGAACTCAACTTGAAAGTCCTCAGATCATTGACTAGAGAATGGCAACCAAAGGTAACGGCAATCTCGGAAAAGAAGAGTCTCTCCGCAATGACTTCCGCTACATTATTTGGCAAACTTCAAGAATACAAAACGGAACTCGGTAGACTTGAAAAACATGAGAATCTAGAAAAGAAGTCCAAAAACATTGCTTTAAAAATTGATTCAAAGGAAGTTGTAAAAGAAGACAATCCGGAAGAAGATGAAAATTTCATGCTTCTTGTTAAAAGACTTGGGAAATTTTTTGGCAGAAATGACAAGGGCGGATCTCATGCACATAAGAGAAAGCACTTCAAGAAAAGAGAAGCCTCCACATCAACACAAGATGTCTCATGTTATGAATGTGGAAAGCAAGGACATATCAAGCCAAACTGTCCAAATCTCCCAAAGAAAAACGGATTCAAAGGAAAGGACTCAAAACAAAAGAAAGCCTACATAGCATGGGAAGATAATGATATGAGCAGTACATCGGAATCAGAAAGCGACAAATGTGCAAATTTAGCCTTAATGGCATCACATCACTCCGACGACGAAGAAGAGGTTAGTAATGAATTTACTCTTTTTGATGATGATGTTCAAGGTGCAATTGATGAACTCTTGAAAGAATGCAAAAGTTTATACAAAAAGGTTTCAAACCAAGAAAAAGAACTTCTAATTTGTCTAGAAAAAATTGACACCATGACTAAAGATTTTGATCTTCAAAAACAGAATTTTATAAAAGAAAAGGAAAACTTTGCATGCTCCAAGTGTGAATCAAATGTCTTTCAAATTGTTCAATTGAAAAGAGTCATTGAACGATATGAAAAAGGACAAATAGGGTTGGAAGGATTACTAAGCCAACAACGTTATCCAAATGATAAAAGAGGTCTTGGTTATGTGAATTCTAAGAAACCAAGTAACAATCCCACTGTTTTTGTAAAGGCTAGTAATAGTTCCAATCCCAAGATAGTAGAAAAGAAGCAAGTTGTTCATAATCATCAAAATAAAAAGCCTAATGTATCTAAAAGGAAACAAATTCCTAGATACAAGAGCAAATTTGTTCCAAACTGTTTTTACTGTGGTATTATTGGACACACACCTAATGCATGCTATATTAGAAATTTCAGTATGGCTAGTGGACACTATGCATGGGTGAAAAAGGGAACTAACTATGAAGGACCCAAGGCAACTTGGGCACCTAACAAGAAATAATCTGTTTTTGTAGGTATGCTTGAAATCCACATCAAATCTTTGGTATCTTGACAGTGGATGTTCAAAGCATATGACAGGAGATGTACACCAATTTTCATATCTAATACATAAAGCCAAAGGGTATGTCACCTATGGAGACAACACCAAAGGAAAGATTCTTGGCGTTGGAATAGTTGGCACACCTCCATCCATTCAAATTGAGGATGTTCTATATGTTGAAGGATTAAAGCACAACCTTCTTAGCATAAGTTAACTTTGCAATAGAGGGTTCAAAATCAAATTCAACAAAGAAGAATGCCTTATTATGGATGAGGCAACCAATGAGGTAAAACTCAAAGGTATAAGATCTAACAATATTTTTATGATCACTTTAGATGATTTGTCTATGAAGGTACAATGTCTTATGGTAAAAAACAATGATGCTTGGTTATGGCACAAGAGGATTGCTCACATTCACATGGAGCACTTGAACAAATTGGTTAAGCATGACTTAGTTATTGGTCT